ATGTATTTTAAAATCTTCTAAATCTAGATTTGTAGCTTCTATATTTTTAGTTTTAATTATATATTCTGGATTTTTAATTTTTAATTCACATAAAACAATTTGTCTTAAAACTAATTTTACTATTTGATTGTAATAATTCTGTATAGGTATAAAGTTCTCCATCCATTTGTTGTGCTTCTATTGGTTATCTGAATATGTTATGTATTGTTTTGGTATTAATTTCTTATTAATTATACAATTGCTACATCCCAAATCTATTAAACCTAANAATGGCCAGAAGTTTCTCGGTGAAACGTGTGCCTTTTCTAAGGATAGTTTAGACTTTTTGCTCCCAAGAATTTTTCTATTTAAGGAAGGAGTTTCATTTGGTTTAGGCAGAAGTTTACAACCTGTGTACTCTCTGCTATCTAAAAAACCTTTGAAACATCTCCTCCAGAAAAATTCTCAGTTCAAAAAATATTGTATAGTTGAAACATTCTTGTGAATATTTAAGGTATTCTTTTTTTCTTTTTTACGTTTATTTTAGAATTTTAGGGACTTTCCGAAAGGGAAATCCTTAGTTGTAAATCTTTTAAAGATGAATTTATAAATCCCTGATTTATATTCTTATGTTTATGTTTTTCTTTAAGTAAATATTTGTTATATTTCTCATTTCATTCTATGCATATAATAAAAGCATAACTTGATTTTTAGAAGTCATACTGTTTTTAGGTTAATCTTGAGTGACCCAGATGAGTGAAAACTTTTAGTCGGAGTGAGCCTTTTGATGTTTTCTAGAGATGCTGGGGAAAGAGATAAATTAATCTAAGAATTTTATAAGGGAGTGCCACGGGTAACCTTATAAAAAGAAATCAGGTTCAAGTTTATATGTCATAGGTGGTGAAAATTTAAATGAAAAAGAAAAAAGAAAAAAAAGTAAGGGATTTATATATGATTCTAAGAAAAGATTTATTAAAAATTAAGGAGAGTACTGAGTAGGATTAAAGTTATTAAAAGTTTAAAAAACAGCCTAAACAACAGACTAAACAAAACAGCATACCCCCCCCCCCATAATANNAAAAACATCCCCCCCCCCCCATTATATATATATATATATATATATATATAAAATAATAATAAAAATAAATTCAACTTTCACTTTTGTGACTGTTGCCCTACCTATTATTCTTGCGCCTTTTACTGCAATCTTTGCATCATGTCGATATCACCACCTGCCTTCACCATCAGCCTTCCAGTCATGGGCGGACGTAGGGGGGGATCATGGGGGGTCAAGTGACCCCTCAACTTTTGAGATCTTTCCTTCTTGGTTTTTTTTTTTTTTTCTTAAGTCATGTTTGGTATCAATTGAAATTGAAATTTTAATCTAAATCAAAGTTAATAATTATTTTTAATAATATATTTTCTGGATTCCTTAACTTCTAAAATTTTATCAAAATTTACTAAAAATCGGACTTTAATTCCCAGCAAACAGAGACAGAATCACGATAAATTTGAATTTTCTCTCTTTTTTACTACTCTATTGTATTCTCTCCCCCAAACTTTTTACCAAAATATTAACTCTTCTAATTTTTTAAAATTTGTTTATAATTTATCTATAATTATCATATCTACTATAAATTTTCACTTTTCAATCAAGTTTTCAACTAATTAGAACCTAAATTTGCATTTTCTTCTATCATATTTGTGTATATAGCACATATCCAAATTGATTATATAAATTTTAGAGCCTGTTTGGGAGTGATTTTGAGAATTGATTTTTTGACCGTTAGGAAAAAAGTGAGGTCCACCTGTGAGAGAAGAAGTCAAATATGACGGTTGGAATAGTAAAATAACGGTCAAAAAATCAATTTTTTTGATGAAAAAATCGAGCCCAAACAGCCCCTTAACCTATATCTAATGAATTGTGTTTATTTGACTAATTATTAGTATTGAATATTGGTTATTTGTTTTTCTTTCGATTACTTGAATTGATTGCTTGTATCAAATAAACAATTTTTTAAAATATAAATATGCATTTTCTTGTGATGAGCAAAATATTAATAAAATTATTGTTCAAAATCAAATAGATGAAAATGAATAGCAAAATATTAATGAAAAAATATTTTTGAAATGTAAATCTATATTTTTTTGGTCAAATATGAATCATTTAAAAATAAAAAACAAAGTATTCGATTTGCACCCCCATTCCCACCCCTCAGTTGTTCCAGCTGCCTACAATCATGAATCAGAGTGCTAAATTTGGAAGATCCAATCCAATTTGATCCGCTTGCAATAATTTAAATTCTCTCAATATGTAAAGGTTCGCCATTTGGAACAAGTGCATTTCAGTTTTCCACTATAAAGCCATTTCTAGAACAATTACTACGGGTAAGTCTTTACTGCATAAAAACTGAACTGGATGTTTCTTTAGCAACTTTAAGAGGAGCCATGGATTGTAAGAGGGAACCGTAACCTCTAATATATGAAAGTTCAAAAAGCCTTGTTAGGTAGATGTTGGAGCCAGGCCCCAAGAAGTGTTACTCCTTTTGTCGAGCTGTGAAGGCGGTGGGGATGGTGGCTGTGGCATGTAAATAGCAGGAGTGGGTGTGGTTTGGGAAGCGGCTGTTTTTTTCCTTTTCTTTATTTATTTATTTTAACTCAAAACTTCAGGTAGTATCATCTTTTCGATCGGATTTTGATGTTCTAACAGTCAAATACAAAATCCATTCGTTGGGGACCCTACTGCTACAAAATTGAAAGGTTGGGAGCTAAATACGACTAATCTTACTCTATTTGGGGGATGAGGACCCCAGCTGTAATTTTTCCATAAATGAACACATGTGGTGTAAAATCTGACGTGTGTTCGTGGGGCTGGCTGTGACAACTTCCATCAATTCTAGTCAACGATTGGATATATAGGTTACAGAAAGAAGGGGGCAAGCGAAAGAATTTCGATAATATACAGTGATGAGCATGCATTTAGGACGCCTTATCCCTTTTAAGTGGAATTATTAATATTTAAATAATTTCCGTTTTCGGCGGATGATGATGTTTTGTTTAACTGGGTCTAGGGATTAGTCTATGTAGTAACGCTTGTCGAGTCTTCCATTTTTCCATTTCCTAATATAGTCTTTTAAATTGAATACTTTTGACAGATTCGAGAAGAGAGTGAGATACGAATCTCGCAAGTCAAGAGCAGATGTAAGGAGGCGTGTGAAGGGACGGTTCGTGAAGGCAGGGGATGCTTATGATTATGATCCATTAAGCAAAACACAAAGTTGCTGAGTATAAATCTTTTGCTCGTGCAAATGGATGACTCTGATGAATGAAAAATTGTAGAGGTTATGTTGAGAGAGCCAATTCCTGCATTCAATATGCCAGATCTTCAAGTTCACATAGAGATCAAAATTATTTTTGTTGTTCATGTTTGATTAGCATCTTTAATTGGTGGACACAGCAAGATTGAAGAATCATCATTTTGATATTGACAGGTCAGCTAGCCATGTACAGGAGTCGTCAACTTTTAATGCAGAAGCACCTTGCTATTGTAATTTATCTGTTGTTTTTTCACCAGTGGTTACTGCCTCAAATTGGTCATTACAGTATTCTTATAATCATTTGAAAAAAAAAAAAAAAAAATTGACGTTAATTGCCACAGTGGATTAAACAGCGCTAATCCACCTGGCTAAACTCAATTAATACTAGGGTTGTGCTGTGTATACACAATGACGACTTTAAAAATGCTCACATGGAGGGGGGCCCACGTGTAATAAAATATTTGTGGGCCCCCCTCCAAGTGAGGAGGGTGTAAAAGTCGTGTGTACACCAGCATTTTCCTTAATACTAATGTAAAGCTTATATTGGAGAAAAATTCCAACATCCATCTTTTTTCTATTCCTAAATCTAATCTTAACATCTGGTAAATAGCATGGAAAAGGGTGAAATTTTTATCTTGGAAAGGAATCTTGTCCATATATTATCATAAAAGTAACTTCTATTTTTCCAAACATCAAAACGTCAACATATCCGTGTGCTTCTTATTTTAAACATGATTGAAAACGTGCAAAAATTAATTGCTCTTCTTGTTGTTAAAGAGTATGTCCACATATCCGTAACAAGTTTCATAACAGAGTAAACTCCACTATTATTCTTTGTCAAGTTGTTCAAAGAATGAAAAAATGTTAAATTGTATGATAAATTTCTGAGCTTTTGTACTTTTTCCGGGATCTTATTCAATCATATCTACCATTTTATGGAAGATTAAAGCCACTTGTACAACATTTATGTACAATTTGGTTGACAACAAATGTGTTGAAAAAATTTTGGCCATTAATTTTAAAAACAATTTTTCAAATAAATGAATATGATGTTCAACAATTCATGTATTGTAAATCAAGTTGTAAAATAAATTGTACAAGTAACATGATTGATCTCCTTTCGCCTCCCGTTGCACTTGTAGCTCCTTCATTCCTACCTCACACCGCCCACTTTCAAAAGAATGTAGGACGAGTACACCCCTTCCTCTCTCTTGCCATTGTAATTTAAATAAATTAATAAATTTCTTTTTATCTTATTTATAATAAAACTATTTTCTACTGATTTTATTAACTACAATTAATACATACCCAGATCTTTAACAAATATCTAAATTTGATATTTTTAGATATTTTTTCAAACTTATTGTCGATACTTTGAGGGGCGAGCTAGGGGATTAGGACTAGCAATCTCGCCCACTTGAAAATCTATATAGAATTTAAAATTTTTCCCAAACATGAAGATTGTAGCTCCGCTACTAATTATTTCGATCATTTGCACTTTAGTGGATAATTCTATATGCACGGGTGAGAAGATTGTCCATCCATTCAAATCGCTGCGTATGAAACACTCTCTTAACCACAAGTAATACTTGTCTAAGAGTTCATATATTGATTTGAGTGGATAAATATGTAAAACGGTCCTACCAAGTCGTTCTTGGTTGGAAAGGGAGGTCGACCGCTGTTTTTGTGACCCTACTCTTTCGGCCCAGTGGATGAAGCTAGAACAACTGAAAGATGTTAAAAGTACCCAAAAGGATAATGTAAGAAAAAGGTTAAACTTTGACATTGTACAGTGTATTACAAGCAAAGACATGGTGGGAAGAAAGTGAAAATTGTGGTGGGGTCTGCAGATTTTGATTGTATAAATAAATTCCATTGAAGACGATTATCATCCACCGTTGTCAACACTTCTTCACCTTCCAATTTCTCCTTTTTACATCCCCCAAAATTTCCTGATTTGCTAGGGCTCTAACTTCTGAGCTGATCCAATCTGTAAGTCTCTCTTATTTTTTCTCTTTCGTTCGGGAATAAATATGGTTTTTTTTTTGTTGAACTTTTTGATGCGTTTCAATTCATTATTATCTATCCCAGATCTCATATTTTCAAGTTCTTTTGTTTTATTATATAATTTAGGACCTTTTTATGTTTCCCCAGAATTCATATATATGTACCGAATGTTTTTAATTTTAGATGGATGATGAAGTTATGCATCTGTTTTCATAATGAATTCTACAGAGGTGTTTTCTGTTATACAGAGGAAGATCCATTCAAAATTTCAATTCCAAGAGCTGTTTTCTAGAATTTCTTGAAACGTATGGCTTCCTTCTTGATGTATCAGAAAAAGGGCATAATTTAAGCATCATATGGCTTAACTTTCAGGGTTTTTGGAATAAATAATTGTAGAATAAAGAGAAATGAGAGAATGGGTTGTAGACAATGATTGTCTTCTTCGCTGAAGTTCTGTTGTCTAATTTACCTACTAAAATATCATCACCTGTCTCACCCAGCATCAGATTACCATTTGATTTAGAGTTTGCACAATTGAACCATTGTTTGCCCTTTTAAACCTGATTGTTTTGTTTGATTGCAGATCCTTTTTACAGAGCTCCTGTAGAAATCCTGTAATAGTTTGCAAAGTCTAACAATTCTAATAGACATCACAGGGTAATTTGTGCATATATTCTACTAAATATTTTTGCTCAAAAAGCCATAAGAGAATTGCTTTCTGATTACGTTAACTTTTATCTGTTCCTGACAATTAATACATGTTTAGCTGTGAACTTCCTGTGCTAGTGATGATTTGAATGCAAACACGTGTTAATTCTTCAAGTTTCTCTTATCTCATTTTGATGAAGCATGAAAACATTAACAAGAAAACAATATAAAAAACAGTAGAATCAAGTTTGCCAGTGCATTTTATATTTCTCTTCCTGAAGGATGTACTAACTTTCCATCCAGGAATCAAATCTCAAAACCTTCTTTAATTGATATTTTCATCAATTTGATTTGCTGCATAGAAAAGGAGAAACAAAAAGGTAAAATGGTTCTTGGAAGGGTTGAAGGATCAGTTTTCTAGTATCGTCCCGAAAGACAAAAAAACAAATAGTGAGAAGATTGGTTTATTTTTATTCCTTATTATCTCTCAAGCTTTATTCTGCCAAAATGGACTATGTTTGGCATAACATGGTGTATCAAACTGATAATCTGTGCTGAGACTATTAGTCTTGGTTTATTTTTTTATATTCTCATTTCGGCTGAGTCCATAATTCAAAATTGTCCATTAGGTTCCACGTCCAAAATGGGTCTTTCAACATATTCCAGTGCAGCTGATGCGGGTGTGCTCTGTGTAATTCTGGCAAACACAGCCATATCCATTTCAATTATGAAGGAGATTGTTCGGTCTCTTCTTCTTGTCATTGGCATCCGCATTGCTTCATGGGAAGAATTCTCCATGGAGCATTTAGACTCAGTTCAATGTCACAAAAGTCCGTCAGAATCGTACATGGAGGAGTTCCGTAGCCGAACACCAGCGATACGCTATGACTCAATATTCACATTTGACTGTCCCCAACAAGAGTGCTCAGTCTGCTTGGCTGAATTCAAGCCAAATGCAGAGGTTAACCAACTGTCTTGCGGTCATGTTTTCCACAAGTCTTGTCTTGAGAAGTGGTTGAACTATTGGAACATCACGTGCCCTCTTTGTAGAAATAACATGGTTCCTCAAGAAGAAGTCGAAGAAGATGCCTGTCCAATGTGAGTCCTTACTGATCACTTGCTAAGTCCTGGTTTTCTGCATAGTTTGTACAGAATATCTATAAGATTGTGTGCATCGGCTTATGCGATTTGATGCTTTTGTTTCGCTGTTCTGTTTGCGTCCTCTTGTAGTGACGGGTCCTTGTTGACCAATATATCTGTTGTAAATACTTTGAAAAGCTTCTGATATCCATGTACCTGAGATTTTAGTCGAGTTCAGGCTTTATGAAAATCACCCTCTGTCCGTTGTAATTGAGATGTGCAACTTCTTTGTTTCACCATGATTCCGTTGGATGACCGTCTTCATCTAGGATGTTCTAACTAGTAAACAGCCCACTCATCCAGAACAAGATTGACAGTAGGTTTAAGCATCTTTTTTTGGTACTCTGTACCAGTTCAAACTCAATATCGTCCTCTTTCTCTTGTTCGAAATAAATGGAAACATTCCTTCGATAGAATCTTGTACTTCGTTTATATTGCAAAGACTACTACTTTCATTTCATATGCTAAAATTCAAATACATTGAAACAGGGTCAATGTAGACCCTAATTGCGTTTAGATAACAAACACAGGAGAAAACATTTCTCAGTTTACTATTCAAAAAAATTACCAGTAAAGTAATAAAGACAACAATTGAAAAATCACTTTAGAGGATACCAACTAATGAAATAATTAAAGATTCAAACAAGCTTCAACTAGAGCACCTATGGTTGATGAGGACTCAAAATAATTGAGAAACAGAACATAAAATGTACACAGAAATCTGAGACACTGTATATGATTTAGCTGGCAGATGTGCATGTATTAATACCATCCTTGCAGTCTTTGGTGAGATCATCGAAAGTTTCAATCTTCTTTTTTGCCATCAACAACACTTTCATCTTCAATAGACATCCTCATGTAGCCATCTAGTTCAACTGGTTTTTCATTATTGAGCTTTTTAATCTCTGCATACCAGTCACTGTTTTCATACCAGAGATCTTTAAATTCATCAAGGAAATGAGTTGAGCACCTGGCTTTTAAAGGATCGAGAAAGGATGTATTTGGTTCATTTGTTGAGATATACAAGTTACTTCCTGCTTCAATTTTGTCCTGCAAAGTCACCAGAAGAGCTTCTGGTGATGTATCTCTATCGAGAATAGGCCGTTGCTCCTTATTCCTCGCCTTATCTCCTCTCTCAACATGAATGGCGTCGAAATCCCAATCCATTCTCATAGCAATAGCACATGCTACATCCAACATACTTCTCGACTTCCATACCTTATGCCATGGCCTTGAAATAACCTGTTCCATCTTGCCTTCACACACACTGTATGAGTAATTATCCGGCTCCACGGTCCCTAACTTCCTCATGATCAGAGGATCATCCACTCCAGCTAGTTCCATTGGCGTAATTTTATGATCTTCCACAAGATGAAGAGTCAACCCATCTTCAACTCGCCTCTTGTTCTTCAGTCTGACCAAAATTGAGCCTGATCCAGCACTGGAGCCGATTCCTTCAGATGCTCAATGTCATGGTAAAACCTGAAATCTTTACCATCCTCATCTTGACTGGACAATGTGTCGATCGATGGCAAACATGCTGTCGAATCCAAAACCAAGGCCCAGTTTAAGTACTGAGCTTCACCCAACATACAATTGAAACTGTACAAGAACTGATGCATGCTTTTGCACCTATCACCACCACCAGAATAAATCAAATATTTTCCACGACTAAACATGCCATCCAATTCCACCATGGGAAGCAAATCATTCAGTGTCTCCCCAATCATCTCTAATATCCCCCTCTCCATGTCTTTACCCTTCCTTTTGCTCCTCATCGCATTCACCCCCGAATGATAATCCCCAATCCCAACAACACAAAGTGTACAATTCTCCTTCACGATCACAAAGTTTCTGTAATCCGTATCAAATGCAGTAGTCTTCCCTTCTTTAGGCCTAAACCGCCATGCCATGTGGCAAGAACTATCATTGATCCAACGAACTGGTTTGCCAAACCGGTAGAAATCTGTGTCTTTAAATTTCTCAATGGCAGCCCCATTAATGGAACGCCTCTGGATCGCCACAATCAATACGGTCATCAAATTTCTCATTACAACCACGTTTCGTGGCCTTCTCGAAGGCAATCTCATTGGAGACCACCAAGTCCTCGCCAGTCTTGACAACAGAGTTATCAGATTTGAATGTGGCATCGGAAGGGTGGAACATTGGGTCATCAGGTTCATAAGTTGCAGCCATTACAATAAAATGTAAGGATTTTTTCAATTAAAGATGAGCTTGTATGTGTGAATAATTGTGTGTTAAATTATAGGCTATCGAATTCGGTTGAGCCCAATTAAATTGATCTAATATGGTTTCGGTTTTGGGCTTTAATATATCCAATTAAAGTATAGGTTTACATATGTGTAGAGACCGGACCCAAGTCCTAATTCTATGATGAGCCGAATTAGGTCAAAGGGCATCCCTATATAAATAGGCTATGGTCCCCAGATCACACGCAACGAATTATTCATTCTCTATTGCATCCTATCACAGAGAGGAAAATGAGACTGCGTGTAGATTTGGAAGACCATACCGCGAAATTCCTATTGCATTAACCATATTTGATTCAGGTATGCTTCCACTTTAATTCTTATATTTCTTGATAATTTAACATGAATGATCCGATAATTTAAAGAACTAAATTATCCAACAAGTGGTATCAGAGCCTCTTCATGTTGAATCATTGAGAATCAAAATTTTTAGTTTGGTTCTTGCAATATATTTTGAAATTTTCAGATTTAACAATTTTTGGTTATATATTTTGTTAAATTTGAAAATTCTTGCAGTATAATTTCTGTTATTTTCGTTCGGATTAATTAGTTTAGAAAATTCATATTTGGAATTCGAATTTTTGGAGATTTAGATTAAAAAAAAAAAAAAAAAATTCGACGGCATCCCGGCTACTGCCAGCGGCAGCGCGAAGTTGCAGCGCTTTGCGCTGCTACCAACACTGCAACATCGGGCGTTGCCAAGAAGAAAGGAGCACCGGCCAACCTGTAAGCGGCGGCACATGTCGGCGCCGGCGCCGCCCTAGGAAAGAAAAAAAAATATTTTTAGGGTTTTCTGGTTTTTTTGGCTGAATTTGGAAGCGGGGGCCTCTTCTGTAAATTAGATAAGTTGAGGCCTCTGGTTGCAATTAGGTTAGGGTTATAAAATTAAGGTTTCAGTCCATAACCTTTAAGTTATATTGAGATTTGAGCCTTTAAGTTTCGAATTTAATAATTCAGTCCCTAAGGTTTTAAAATTAATTAATTCGGGCCGTTAAAGTTCTGAATTTATAATTAAAGCCTTCAAAATTTAATTATTAATTCAAATTGGCCCCCTAAGTTCATAATTAATTCAAATTGACCCCTAAAGTTTCAAATTTTTAAAATTTGATCCCTAAAGTTTTGAATTGGTCAATTTTGGCCCCTAAAGTTTTATAATTTGTTTTAATTGATCCTCTAAAGTATTGAATTAATTAATTATGGTCTATAAAGTTCAAGTTTATTAATTTCAACTCCTAAAGTTTGGAATTAATTAATTTTGCCCCCTTAAAGTTTTGAATTATTAATCCTAAGGCCCCTAAAGTTTAAAACTAATCAAAATATGCAAAATTGGTGATTCTCTTTCTCAAATTTTGGTATTAAAGACTCTTTTAAGAGATATAATATTCGAAAGTTAGTTAATTGAAGCAACATGTTGCCAAAGCAACCTCTCTTGTGAAAATTGACTAACTTAGAATGTTAAAAAGTGTATGTGCATGTGTTATTCATGGGAATATTGGTCGGCCCAAAGGAATGTCAATATTTAGCCGAATACACGTGCACCTGTGATGATAAACGTGTGACGATTATTTGGTTTAATGTGTGATCAATAAATCAGTCCAAAGAAAGGTTTATTGATTGACACGTTGTTTTATCGTCAATATTTGATCACTACACCAAGAATACCGCTTACAAGTCAATATCTCTGTCCAAAGATTGGATATTGATATTGTGTTTGGTATCTTGTGATGGGCCATACCACTATTTGAGATTATTATTATTTGCATATTAAAGATATTCATGTGAGCTATTCATAATAAATATTCTCTAATTCAATTTCAGGTTCTGCTGCTAATATCTCTGCTAGCATCAATTCAATTCCAATGTTAAATGGCACAAACTTCAGGGCATGGCAAGAGAATGTTATGATTGTTCTCGGAGTCATGGACCTAGACCTTGCTTTACGGGTCGATCAACCTGCTGCACTTACTGATAAGAGTACCTCTGATGACAAGAGAGAGATGGAAAAGTGGGAACGATCGAACCGCATAAGCTTAATGGTCATGAAGCGTGCTATTCCAGAGGCATTCCGGGGCACTATGTCCGATAAGGTGATTACGACTAAAGGTTTCCTTGAGGACCTTGAGAAGAGGTTTGCCAAGAATGAAAAGGCTGAAACAACTACACTTTTGGCAAATCTTGTCTCAATGATGTATAAAGGGAAAGGAAACATTTGGGAGTACATTATGGAAATGTCTCACATTACTTCAAAACTAAAGGCACTCAAGTTGGATTTATCTGAAGACTTGTTAGTGCACTTGGTTCTGATATCCCTTCCGGCACATTTCAATCAATTCAAGGTGAGCTATAACTGTCAAAAGGACTCATGGTCCCTTAATGAGCTCATCTCACACTGTGTCCAGGAAGAGGAAAGACTGAAGCATGAAAAGACAGAAAGTGCTCATTTAGCCACCACCTCTAAAGACAAAAGCAACAAGAAAAGGAAGATTAACAAGGAAGCTGCAGGTACGGCACCACAAAAGAAACAGCATAAGGAACCAACTGAAGGCGGTTGTTTCTTCTGTGGAGTTGTAGGTCATAAGAAGAAGAATTGCACCAATTACCACGCATGGCGTGTAAAGAAAGGTACTCTTCTTCATTTGATTTGTTCTGAGGTTAATTTAACTTCGGTACCTAGACATACATGGTGGATAGATTCTGGTGCAACAACTCACATCAGTATGTCTATGCAGGGTTGCCTGAGTTGCCGAAAACCAAGTGATGGTGAAAGATACATCTATACTGACGACGGTAATAGAATGGAAGTAGATGCAATAGAAAAATTTAGATTATTGTTAAAGACTGGATTTTATTTGGATCTTGTTGAGACATCTATTGTACCGTCTTTTAGACAGAATTTGATTTCTATTTCTGTTTTGGACAAATTTGGTTATACTTGTTCTTTTGAAAATGGAAAATTTAGTTTGTTT